GTGGCCAGGGCTGTCCCGACCCGTGCCGGCGGGCGCTGAAGGCTACGCGCGGTGTGAGCTCAAGGAGCACAGAGCTCGAGACCACGGCGCGGCTCGCAGGCGTGCAGTCAGACAAGGGCGATGCGCCACCGCGGCGGCAAGATCGGCTTCACCCATGTGTGCACCGTGCATCGAGGCCGTCGTCCGCTTGGTTGACCTCATCAGCGGTGGCTCGGGTCAATGCCGAAATCAGACGGTCGTGTCGTCGACGGTCTTTCGTATATAATTCGCCTCGTCTCTATCCCGCCCTCTCCGACTCGAAACTCGGCGTCTTCGGTCTTCGGCGGGTGGCGCTTGAGCACCGGTGCCCCGCTTCTTGGACAGGTTCTCAAAGTCGCTCGGTGAGAACATGGCCCCCGGAGAGGAGGTCACCGCGGCGGTTGCGACCGCGGCCTTCAGCAGGCATGACGATATACAGTTCATTCGCGCCGCACTCGTGGCCGCGAACCTTGTGCCAGAAAATGCGGCGGGCGGCGTCGCGAAGCTGATCTATAGGACCGACGTGGAAAAGTCAAAGAAGGCAAGGATAATACCATCCAACTGAACAGCGCGCTCGAGCGCGCGTGGAAGTTTGCCAGCCAGGCGATGGTCCACCAGACAGCGTTTGACATGCTGGTCGGCAAGTTCTTGGTGCGAGCTGCGCCCTTCCATCTCGATGGGCAGCATCTCTCGCCAGAGAAGAAGGTGCGCCAAATCATGGATGACATCAAGTCACGCTTTGCGAATGACCTTAAGAGGGCAGTTGGCGACTCACCCGTGGACCTCGGCGACCTCGACCTGAAGGTCGGCGACCTCCCCGAGGGCGCCACTGCTGCAAGGTCTGGGATGGAGAGGGTCGGCGCCTTGACTTTCGATGGGATGGCTGCGCCCGCGCGCGCCCTGAAGGGCCGAGCGGGCATCGAGGTCGGTTCCCACGGGGGGGGGGGGGGCCATCAGCGAAGGCATGTTGTTTGAGGTCCAGGCCGTCGAAGACGATGGCGCGGCCGCGATGGCCGAGCTCACCGCCTTCAATGTCGATGAATGCCTCGAGGTCACGGTCGACTGCAAAGTCCTGATGAACGATTGGAAGGCCGTCGAGGAAAAGGTAGGCGAGGAGTGCACGGGGCAGGACAACAGCTATGAAGCATTAAGGCAATATCGGCTGCGGTGCGTGACCTCAGGAGCCTCCGCGGAGAGTGTATAGCTTTGCAGAGGTCTGGCGCTATATGCCAGGGGCATCCCATCTCGTTCATGATGAAGCCTTGCGACGTCGTGGCGTCGGAAGCAGTGGGCAAGCACGCGTCCAAGTTCACTCCGACCGCGCCATTTCAGAACATCACCTGCAACAGAAAGAAGGGCGCGGAGGGCAATGTGGCGACGGTGATCATCGGTGAAACGACCATGTGGGTCACGAGCGTCAGCAAACCCGCTGATGACGCAGTGGAAGTTTCCACGGCGCCGCGCAGGAGGGTGGAGTCCACGACTGCCTAGGGGGAGGCGAACATGAAACTCGTAAAAGTCGTCGGCGCCGACGGCGCGAGCCATCCTGAAAGCAGAACTTCAAGCCGCTTGAAGTGCACGGGGGGCTGTATTTCTTCAAGCGCAGAGGCGTGAAGCAGGCCTTGCAAAACGCGTCGGCGGTTGGTCGCGCCGCTGACGGCGACCGCGGCGAGAAGGGCAGCGTTGGCCAGACTGGCGAGGGCAAGGGCATGAAGGACAAGGGCAACACGGGCAAGCGTGGCAAGGGCAATGAGGGCGCCAGCCCGAGCGGCGGCGCGCCCGACAAGATGCGCCGCAAGGTTTGGGTCTGAAGACGCTGCGTGAAAAACGATGGCTGGCAAGTTGATGCACCGCGCATCTCGAGCAACAGCTCTCCGAAGGCCGTCGGCCGCCCTTCGTCGCTGATCTCGGTCTGCAGGAAATGGCGCCAGTCGAAGGGTGCGCGCGTGCACTTTCACGCGCGCGCGTGTTATATACATGTATATATATATATATATATATATATATATATATATGTGTAAAGGCATATGTCTATATACACGTGCGAGTGCGCATGTGTATGCGGCGTGACGAGCGCTGCGGTGAACAATGCGCCATGAGCTCCAGCCCTCCGTGAGCCATGGGCCCCATGAGCCAGGCTCCATGAGTGGGTGCTCTCCGTGGGTCATGAGCTCCATGAGCCGTGGGCTCCGCGCGCATTCTAACAGCCCAAGGCCAGCGACGACCCCGGCAATATTCATCGCTGCCCCGCAATTCCCGCATGCAAGACGGCCCCAGCGACCGAAGGGCGACGTGGTGATAGGTGCGACGAGGCGCCTATGCCGACGCGAAAGTCGCGCGCAGGGATTGCATGCAGCCGTTTGCATGTGCATGCGTTTTTTATGTGTATATACCAAGAGAAATACGGCGATGGCGGCAATGAGCCACGAGCTCCGTGAGCAGACGCTCTCTGTGAGCCGCGAGCTCCACGAGCCACGAGCTCCATGGGTAAACATTCTCGCCGTGCCATGGGCTCCATGAGCAGAAGCCCTCATGCCCCAAGACGGCCCAAAGTGCAAGCGACGGCCCTGGGATGCCCCAAGACGGCCGAGACGGCCCCCGCCTACCGAGTGATGGCGACGACGACGTCTGACGAAGACGAATGGCGCGCACCTCCCATTGAGCTGCGTTTTCCGAGCATGGGGCGCATTCTCTGGAGACAAGTGCCCCGACCAAGAGGCATGCTCACCCGCGTGTATGTCTATGCGCGCGCATTTACATGTGCGCGGCGATGGCGACGGCCGTCGGGAACAACGAGCCATGAGCTCCATGAACACGGGCTCTCCTTAAGCAACGAGCTCAGTGGGCCATGAGCTCTGCGTGCGAAGGCTCTCTGTGAGCCGTGGGCTCCATGAGCCATGAGCTCCGTGATCAGAAACTCTCGTGCAGCCACGGCCCCGCGCCGACGGCCCAGATGGCCCGAGATGCCCCGCGCCGCCCCCCCTTCCGACGGACCAAGGATGATGGTTGGCGATGGTGGTTGCGATGTGTGCGCGACGGCGACGATTGGCATTGGTGCGCATCATTGGCGCATGGTCCCGAGCGCGAGGCTCGCGCTTCGACGACAATTTTGTAAACCGAACTTGATATGCAGATCTCGACGTCGAAGGCCGTCGGAAACACTGAACCATCGTATCCATGAGCAGAAGAGCTCAATGAGCCGTGAGTCAGCAGGAGCTCTCCGCGACACGTGAGCTCCATGAGCCATGCGCTCCAGGGGCAGAAGCTCTCATGCAAAGACATGCGATGGCTCAAGATTGCGCCCCATGATGCGCCAACGGCCCAATGATGATGGATGGTGATGATGACGATTTTGATATAACAACGACGCATGGCAAACGTGGGCATTCGAGTAGTACCCGCCGCCCTGGCACATGCTCTTGCCGTGCAGTGCAAGGAACTTGAAAATTTACCACGCCCTTATTTGGGATGTGCATGGATGTGCCTATGCACGGGGCGGAGAGCACAGCTCCCGAAGTTCAGCTACTTGTCATAAATTATAGCAACATTAAAATTCAAATTTGGTAAATTCTGCTGAATTGTGTACACCTCAAACGAATTGTATAAATTACAATGTAACGGCATAGAACTTTCTAACATAGAGTATAACATTTATCCAATTGGAACACTATTTGCAATGGTTGTGTGTACATATATACTATAATATATACATATATATAGATGTATATATATATATATGTATCTGAATATATACGTTGTATGGTATTTGTACAACATACATACACCTTTGACGAATTATGACAGACAGAAGACTCATTCAAGTGTGGAACAACGTAGAAATCCGGGGGAGTCCGGGTCCGCCAGTTTGGGTGCCAGAGGACTCCTTGCAAACCGCGGGGAGACCAAGGTCCTGGTCCTGGTCCGGGCCCAGAGGAATCTTGAGGATTTTCTGAGAGTCCGGTCCCAGTCTTGGCCTGGGTTTCTGTTTTGAATCCCGCGAAATCTGAGTCTGGTCCCGGTCCCACTTTGGATTCCTCGGGAACCCTGAGGACTCAAGGGTCAGGGTCCGGTCCCAGTCCCTGTCTGGGGTTGCTGCCGCCAGCCCACCCGCTTCCGTCCCCTTTCCCTTCTCCTCGACGTGTTGGGGGAGGTGAAAGAGGATCAGGAGCAGGAGGGGAGGCGAGAGAAAGAGCGGCATGAGGAGGAGCATGATGATGATGATGATGATGACGATGACGATGACGATGATGATGATGATGATGATGATGATGATGATGATGATGATGATGATGATGATGATGATGATGATGATGATGATATGATGATGTTGATGATGATGATGCTGGTGATGATGATGATGATGCTGATGATGATGATGATGATGATGCTGGTGCTGCTGATGATGATGCTGATGCTGATGATGATGCTGATGATGATGATGATCATGCTGATGATGATGATGATGATGATGATGATGATGATGATGATGATGATGATGATGCTGATGATGATGATGATGATGATGATGATGATGAGGATGAGGATGAGGATGAGGATGAGGATGAGGATGAGGATGAGGATGAGGATGAGGATGATGATGATGATGATGATGATGATGATGATGATGATGATGATGAGGATGAGGATGAGGATGAGGATGATGATGATGATGATGATGATGATGATGATGATGATGATGATGATGATGATGATGATGATGATGATGATGAGGAGGAGGAGGAGGAGGAGGAGGAGGAGGAGGAGGAGGAGGAGGAGGAGGAGGGAGCGGGGTGAGGAGGACACAAGGGCAGAAATCAGGGGATGGGGACGACGGGGAAGGAGGAGAGAGGAGGGGTGAAGGGGAGGAGATGAGGAACATGAGTATGGGAAGGAGGATGACGGAAGAGGGATGAACGAGGTGGAGGAGAAGCTGGAAGACCCTCCCCTCTCCCCTTTACCTCTCCTCCTGCCCGTGCCGGCAGAAACATTGGTGCTGCAAGCACGAGGAGCGCGGCTGCGACCTCCCGAGGGAGGAGTACGATTGCAAGAAGGCCTCGGGCATCCGCTCTGGCTGGCAGGGGCTCCTCCTCTCCTCCTCTTCCTTTCTGAATTCCATCATTCGTTGTTTCCTTCCTTCGCGGATACGAAGTTTGTTGTTCATCATCATAATGTCGGAGGCTTGATCTCCGCCAGGCTGTTGCAGGAGTTGTTTTGCGATGACGCTCAAAGAGACATTGCGCACAGAGAAGCAACAAGTATTTACAATATTTAGTGGCCACATTTTTTCTTGGAGTGGCAACGCCAATCTGGATCGTGGAGTGGTGATTCTGATTCACCTGAACTGGGAGGAGTCGATGAAAAGTTGCCGTAATCAACGAGCGCCTCGTGTACGTGGATTTGCATTTAGGAGACCAGTGGGTCAGGATACTTTCTGCTTATTTCCTCCATGCGAAATAGTCAGATATACGCGTGCAGGAGATGTACACCACACTGTCCGAGACCAAAAGAGAAGCGCAGCAGAAACAGTACATATTCATATGGGTTGGAGATTTCAACGCGGAGGTCGGCTGCCGGCTTGAGACAGATGACCCAAACTGTGTTGGATTACGTGAGCTTCGATGCGGAAGCTCGCGAGGGCAATGGTTGAAACAATGGGCTTCCATCGAGCAGGTGCTTATTGGCAATGCGTGTTTCCCGACACCACTCAGCGGGCGAGCGACATACACGGAATCGGAAAGACAGCAACAGCAGATCGACTTCATTCTTGTGGATCGGTCGTCGTGGAAATGTGCGAGAGATTGCGGCGCCGTTCCGGATTTTGATATGAATTCATATCACCAGGTTGTGACGGTCGTCTCCAATCTTCCTGGGTATTCGTTGGGGCATCCAGAAAAAGAAAAAAACAGCGGGCCAGTTCACCGCGCAGGCGCTGGGCTGATTGGAAAACAGTTGACTGAGATGAATTTCGACAATATGTGGGAAGCTCACTGGTTGTCCCTGGTATGGAAAACACGGTATCTGCACAGGCTCCCCTGCTTGATACTACTATGGTAAATGCCGCTGTCAGCAGTTCGACCCCGACCACGAAACACGCCAGCAAGTAGCTCAAATACCTTTGCGATTCGGTATCCGAGCTGCTCGTGAAAAGACGGGCGCTACCTGCTAACAGCGTCGCCGACAGCCAGGATCAGCAAGGCGATATTGAAGTTACTCAAGAAAGACAATCGTTCACACGTCACCGAGCGCATCTCGACCTTTCTGGACACGTTCACTGGCATCGACAGGATACCACAGTCCAAGTTGCCTATCGAAAACGGTTGACCCCAAATATGTTGGATGGGAGCACGGTTGTGGTTGTGCGCGTGGATACGGTCAGTGTACGTGCACTGTTGACGCAAACTTATATGCGAGCACGTGCGCAGTGAATCAGGTGGCGGAGTTGGAAACCCAATCGCCGTTAACATACATACGATATTCCACGGTCGACGAGGTCAAGAAGGCCATCTAGGAATTGAAACGCAATCAGTGTCCGGAGATTCACGGCGTAATCAACGAGATGCTCTCTCATGGCGGGGGCGTTCTCCTTCAATCTTCGACCAAGTTGTACAACGACGTTCGAAAGCCTGGTGCCGACCCCCCGGAATCTCGGAAGCAGGCGATGTTCACGGTAATCTTGGATTCCAGACACGAACGCCTTTTTAATAATTGCCGACATAAACATATCATCCCGATCTTGTACAAGCTGTTCTCGCGCCTCCTATACAGACGGCGAGCCAACATTCTGGAGTCTCAGTAACATGTGGGCCAAGCTGGATTCAGGCGCGGTTTTTCCACAGCGGATCAATAGTATGTTGTAGAGCATTTCCCGGAAGAAGCTGGAGAGCACCAAACCCCGTTACTGATCGCAATCGTAGACTTCCAGAAGGCTTTGGCCAGACAAGGGGTATTGTTGGCTTATATTTATCTATTACAGAATCTGCGCACCTGGGCAATCAGCAGTACGCGTGGCACAAAACAGGGCGATATTATCAGTTTTCTGGTCTTCAATGCATTGCTGGAGGAATGGCGCGCGTTCTGAATCCGGAGGGGGAGAGGGAACCGTATGGATTGCAATTGGGGCGCCCGTCGGTTTCTCAGTTGACAAATTCTCGTTTCGCGGGCGACGTGATGCTGATCGGGGGCACGCTGGTACAATTCGCATGTGTGTTTTTTGTGTTTGCGGAGCGTTTCTGGAGGCGTCGGTTTTCTCCTGCGCCCCGACATTGCAAATATCCTTACCACCGCTACGGTTGGAACCAGCCGTGGCCGAGCCAAAGCGAAATTGTGGACGACATTGACATAGAGATCGTGAACGTTGCTGGGTATGTCAAGTATTTGGGGAGGTCGAGGTTGCTAACGTTCAGCGAGCCGATAGAGACTGACGCTGAGCATCGATTCGGGCATGTTTGGGAAACGTCTATGTTGCGAAAGGATGTGTTTGTAAGCAAACGCGTTTCGCGAAAATACCGATTGCGCTTGTTTGACTGTGTCGTCTCATCTTTTTTCTTCTACGGTCTTTCGAACAAAGTGCGGCGAACCCGGAGGCGGATGCTTCGAATGATTATTGGGGCTGGCTGGAAGCGCCGGCAAAATGACGCTGTACATGCATCGTCTTCTTTTGCTTCATCTACATCATCATCCTCCTCATCATCCGACGGCCACAAGGGATCAATGCGCATGCTCCGAGATTGGCGAGGAGGGCGAACATCTCGAACCGTGGGTGGACTGGATCAGGAAAGTTACACAGCACATGGACGACCAGATGGTCCAGCTGGCCGTCGACGGCTGGCGTGCTGCGTGGCGCCTCAGAGTGGAAGTTGCGTCCTGAGTTGCACAATTACCTGTCGACCGGTGGGCTTGCAGAGCAGTGCAGTGGGACGCTGGGGACCGTGCGCGCTGGAAGGGCAGACGGGCAAACAGGCAAACAGGCCGAAGAGAAGGTGCGACTATATTTGTGATTTTCTGCTTTCCCGTGGAATGGCAGCCACGCCGCCGAACTAGTGTGAGTATGCTCGTGACGTGCTGGCATGGAGCAGGATGCACTAGTGTAGCGCCACTGTGCTTTTTCCACCCCTCTCCGTAGTGGGACAGGCTCGCCTGATGCGGTGGTCCATCCGTCCGCCTTTTCCTCCCCTGGAATTCCCGACTTGCTGCTCCCTCCTCCCCCATTTGTTTCCGTTCGCTTTCTCTATCCTTCCTGCTCTTTCCTTCTTCCTCCGTTGGGGGGCATCCGTCCTCTTCCAGTGATGCCCTACTTCCGCCTCTCTGCTTTCTCCCTATTCCTTGTGAACATGTTGTTAGTATTGAGATTTCTGTCAGGACCTCCTAGGGAGTTGTTTCGGGTATGCCTTGATACATTTGGTCCTGCTTGCGGGGTACGGGAAGGTGGACAGTGGTGTGGAGGCGAAGTAGTACTTTGGGGAGTTGAGGAGGACGGGGACGAGGAGGAGGAGGACCGTCGTAATGCTTGTGCTGCCAGTGTCAGGATATAGCGAAGAGTGGAACTTGCAAAAATGGGACCCCAGCGAGGCGGCAGACTGCAATTCGCACGCAAATCTCTCAATGAGTGAGTGCTTAAATTGTCACGGAAACAACGGGTACAAAGTACAACAGTAGTTTTGTTCGTTTTGAACTGGGTTCGTTGTCGGCGTTACCGCGGTCGATGTCCATTTGAGACAGTCGGCCGCTTACCCAACAGCGGCCGCTGTCGGTTTTGGCAAATGTTTGCTGTTGGGCTTCGTACCCATGTTCTTCGTATCCAGGTTGGGCGTCCAGAGACACGTACGGGACCAACATTGGGCCCATTTTGTGGCTCTCGCGGTCATTTCTAATTTTTTTCGGGTCAGTGCCAGACCGTGGAGTCCAGATGCGACGAGTTTACCGCCCGCTTTGTCCAGCCGAGCATGGCCTCACTGCTGTCTGATTATATTTGCCAATCAAGTCCAAGACGGCCCCGCAGGAGGCCAACAATTGCCCCCAAAGGATTCCAAATGGCCCAGGTAGGCCCAAGAGAACCCCCAATTTGGCCAACACAGGGACCGAGGGGCCCAAGATGGTCTTATAAGGCCCAAGCGCGAGCATCCCCACGATGCTCCGATCGGAGCGGTTAGGCCCAGATTCGGTTAACAAAAGAAATCTGGACGCAACAAAGACGGTGTTGAATTGTGCATGTGACGCATGCCACAGACGAGGCCGAAGATCTGCTATAATATGGCCTTGGGCGATTCTGTCTGGGCCAATGGCTTTGAAGGTTTTGGCGTTTCTGAAGGCTCGGGCGTCATTCTGGAGTCCCCTTGGACCTTTTTGGGTGCATTTTGGGCCATCTTGGGCTTTGGGGCCGTCTTGAGGTTATCATGGGGCGCACTTGGAGCGTCTGGAGCCTTTACGAGGCAGTCTTGGGACCGCCTTGAAGGCCTTTTGGCTGTCCTTTGGCGTGCGGTCTTGTTTTTCTTTGTCGAGGGGTTATTAGGGTGCATTGGGTCTTTTTTTGATGTTTGAGTTGGTTTTTGATGTGCTTTTTGGTGCGAGCTTGCGAGCGACGCGCCCGCGTCCGTAGCCATTTTGGCTCAAGCGGCCGGCCGCAGATAATATGCTTGTCCCATATTTGGGTCACTATCAGCGTATGACAAATTGAACAGATCTTTCGATTACGCGACCGCCCATCCCATGCATGCTCTCATCTACCTTTTAATGCGCACGGTATGGTGAAGACACAGAGCATTGTCACATGCCAAGGGCGTAGATGGTTCGATTTTCAATTTTTTTCAACTTGGTAGAGGAGCCGTCCTCATCTTCATGTGGCTGGCTCGGGCACTAGTACGGGTCTCCCACGGCGCATAATGTCGGACTATTTCATGGTGGTGCTTCCTACGCCGGTTTCATTTTGGGGATCAGAACCAGGACGCCTGGCCCACATGTGACATCACAACGACTGGCGGTCACGTCGGCCTACTCGTGTATGTCACGCCTCTGAGCCATTGCGCTCAAACAACAGTTAACCAACTGGTAATAC